GGGGCGGGGGGGGGGAGGAGGATGTCCGGAGCGTCTGAGCTTCCTTAATGGCTGTTGATCCCTTCTGATCGTAATGAAGGTCATTTGAATTCTTTTTTCCGGGGGATTTGAATGTCCCCGGGTTCCGGGGGGTGACATTGTTGGCGCTGGGGGGGTTATGATCCTGGGAGTCGATCGCTGGGGACATTTCCGCTTCCGCACCGGGGTCTGCCGTTCATTTTGCCTCATTAGTTTCACAAATGATGAAGAATCAAGTTTTGAACATTGCAGTGAAGTAGTTTATCACAGATCGGCATCAGTCATTACTTTATTAATATTATGAGAACTTGCACCTTAACGTAATTTAGATTTATTTATCATAATTGAAATTTGAAAAATAATATAATAATTAGTAATTTAACTTCTCAATTATTGGCTGATAAAATAATTCGGAATTTGAAAATTAGAATATAAAAATTGGTGAGTAATATTAAGAATTGACTTATTCCAAATTTAACTGTAATTCAAAATTTCGATTATGCCGATGTCTGTTGTAACATTTAAACAAATTACTTTTCTTACGCAGAAACGAATGTCTGAATTTTACACGCCTTTTGTAGGACATTTTTCAGACACTAAAAAACGTCTGAATAAAACGAAAATTTGTCTGAATACAAAATTGGCCTTTTTCCTATTCTCATCTGTTGAGGATAAATTTCTTGGGATAAGAATTCCGGATGTGTGAGACAATGTCAGATTTCGGTGAAGTGTTCATGACTTGAACATGAACATTTCATGATAAAGTGAGAATTTCTTTCTACAAGAAATCGGTTTTTTCTTGTCAGAAGATGCGAAAATGACTAAAAATATTAAAAGCTTCGACCCAGTGAATCATGAATCAGAGACTTTCATATTGAATGAATAGAGAGTTTATGCAGAGGAAAACCTCCAGATATTAAAAAAATATAACTGTCGCTTACGCTCAATCGCTTTGAGTTCGAAGGGAAGCAATATCTTCTTTTCCTTCTGTCAAACTATTCTTGTCTTTTGAGGAATATTATCTCACTTCGAAAAAAGACATCATCTTTTCATTCAGTAACTTCCTCCTAAGCCCGAAGAGCACCGATTTCTTGTCTGAAACCTACCATAAATTGATCAAATATGTACGCGATGTTTTTCGCTCAAGAAATGATTTTCGTGATATTCTGTCGATTTTTCTCTCAGTGTATCTATCACTCTCGCATTCCTCAAAATGATTTCTCCCCAGATTTTAATTTTTCCGATGCCCCCAGTATGCAGCACCAATCCCCCGGAATTTCTCCAGCGGTCCTTGAGCAGCAACTCACAAAGCCCTCTTTGAGCGATATATCAAACGGACAGTAGTCCTCGGTACCCTCATGCCTTGGAAAACGCAGTAACTCGTTCTCACATGGGAAATCCCAGAAACCATTATATCGCGTAAGCCGGCCAGGTTATCCCCGGCGTTGTCCGGCAAAAAAAAATGCTCGGGGAAAAAAATTGAGAGCGGAGGAGGGACTGCAAGGGAAAGAGCCCAAGTCCAAAGAGGAAATCAAAAAGTGGAGGAGGCATAAAAAATGTAAAAGAGAGATGAAATATCGGACAAATAGAAATGGACCTCGATATTTCATGTTTCGTGCAGTTTTCACTCCCCCTCGCCCGCCCCTTTATCAACGGTTACCCGGGGATAATACAGGTATGGGCTTTACGGATTACCACTCGAGGTGCACTCAAAGACCCCAATACATCCACCATGATCTCTGAAAAATTACTGAGAATGGAGGAATGGAAAAAAATGGAGAGGGAAAAAATTCACATTTTTTTTCCATTCAAGTGATGATGAGTTTATCAAAAAGCTGGGGAAATTTCCGGTTCAAAACACTGGTTGTGAATTTATCTGTTGTTAAAAATGATTTATAAAAATGATTTATCTCTTCCTCGAAAATGTAATCGATAAAAATAATTGCGCGAGAAAAGGGGGACAAAAATTTGGTAATCGCGGAGCGAAATGTAGTTCAATGAGAAAATACCTGTCGGTAGAGG